ATGTGAGGTCACATCAAAATGCGCAACTTTAAATAAATATAGACAACACGTTCTACTTAATGAAATAGACTTTTTAATAAATGTTTACTCCTACAACATCAGAGTGCAGCGCCACATTAAATACGCACTACAATGACAATAGTTTAAAGCGATTTGAAGCATGTTTTATTTTGGGGGGGGGGGCAAACATTTGTGACGTCATATTTTAGGGGGGGGGTCTGACTTTCTGTGACGCCGTGTGACGAGGGGGGGGGTCAAAAATCGTACAAAATCGCGTGACGTCATTTATGGACGGCCCCTTAACACAAACCTCAGGCCACTGTTGCCACCAACAAGAGGGGCTTTGTTGTGACAAAAGTGACAATAGCGAGCAGGTGATGAAATTAGAAACAGTGTCGCCATGTCCAACATATGCGGGCAGTGTTGTCCTCTTGTGTGGCCGTGCGCCGCATGAAGTCAAAAATCAAGTCGCCGCCGCCGCCTGTATCTGCGTCCATAAGCTCTCCGCCGCCTTGTTGTGAGGGATTCCACTCCGTACTTTTGACACTGCACTCGTTATCCTTGCCCAGAACCGCCCAATTCACTCAGCCGACACCACCACATGCTGCAAAATGTCGAATGTCCATGTGCTGTTTTTTGGCATTTATGCATTTGGCTCAGGGTGTGTGTACTTGTGAAGACACTGCTGCTGCTGCTGTTGAGTCGAGCGATCGTATGGTGTGTGTGTGTGTAGGGGGGGGGGGGCTTCACGTTAACACGGTGGCGAGATGTTAACTACCTTGCCTGATATGCAAGAGGTCGTGGGTTCGATCCCGACACCTGTATATTTGGAGTTTGCGTGTCTCCCTCGCCGTGGTCGTGTGGATTTTGCTCCGGCTCCTCCGGGTTTTCCCCTCCACATTTAGAAACAACAACACGCGTTTAGAGTATTGGGCTGCTATAAATTGCCACGCGATAAGCCACTTCGTTGAGCTATCATGTGCGGCCAGGTCGCTTAGACAAAAAGGAGCGATTTAGCTCAGTGAGCCTGCTATAAATTTCCACGTGAATAAGCCGACTTCGTTGCGCTATCGTTTGTGATCGCCAGGTCGCTTCTGAAAAAGAGCTGTCTAGCTTAGTGGGCGTTACCTGGTAAAATCGAAATTGTTTAGTTTAAATATTGTTTTGAATAGACGTCTTAAACCGCCCAATTGCACAAACATTGTATGTTTTTTTTGCACGTTCACCACAAGTATGTGTGCTTAATGCAAACATGATTCCTTGAACAAGCTCTCTGTTTGGTGTTTTAGCATTTTAACACCTCTTTTATTGCCAGAAAGGATAACACCAATTTTAACACTGCTAAGATGGGTTTAGAATATTTGGCTACAATACATTTCTCCGTGATAAGCTCGCTTCGTTGAGCTATCATTTGTGGCCAGATCGCTTCTAATAAAACCGAGCTATCTATAGCTCAGTGGGCCTTACCTGGTAAAATAAAATAAAAAACGTAATAGTTTACAGTTGCTACGTTCGCTTCGCCAGAACGTACAAACTGGGTGCCTTTCTCAATTCAACCGGAGACGTCTCCCCCGGCTCACGCCTTGCGAGTTTCCGTGCGACGACGATAATTCACAATGTAACACAATTTTTGTCCCTGGGTAGGAAGTGTTATTTTCTAAATGCGTATGCCCCAAAAGTATAGAACATGGCTATTATTCCCGACAAACTTTGCGTTTGTGACCAGGACTTTACGTGAAAGGAATGACACAAATGCACACATTTTCTCATTGACAATAGTTACATTTCAAAATATCACTGTCCTGGTCACAAAAGCAAAGTTTGTGGGGAATAATAGCCATGTTCATTACTTTTGAGCCATAAGCAATTGTAAAATAACACTTACTACCCAGGACCAAAAAATGTTTTGTTACAGTGTTATTAATGGAGTGGATAATTAACTTTGCGTTTGTGACCAGGACTTTACGTGAAAGGAATGACACAAATGCACACCACGTTTTCTCATTGAAAATAGGTACATTTCAAAATATCACTGCCCTGGTCACAAAAGCAAAGTTTGTGGGGAATAATAGCCATGTTCTTTACTTTTGAGCCATAAGCAATTGTAAAATAACACTTACTACCCAGGACCAAAACAAAAATTGTTACAGTGTTATTAATGGAGTGGATTATTAACTTTGCATTTGTGTCCTGGTGATGTTTGTGGCGGGGGTGGTGGGTTGCGATTGGCCGGTGTCGGTGCGGTCTCGTGTCGAGCGAAAAGCTTCGAGGCCGTTCGCCAATGGCGCTTGCCAAGGTGGGGGGGAGGGTGCTGGGTGGGGTTGTGACGGGGAACGAAAAGTAGGTCACAGAAGCCATCAATCCTGGGCTCTGTATAAAACAAAACAGAAATGACAGTCTGGCCCACCCCGAGGGGAAAACAGCTGATCAAAAGCAGGTTGTTGGCGGAGTTTTTTTCTCTCTCTCTCTTCCGGGGCGGTGTGAGGCTCGGTTTTTGTTGTTTGGCCAACATCAGTAGCGAGTTTTTTTCGCTCAGCTATTACCACCACCACCATCACCACCCCCCGAGAGACCTGTTGGAAAAATCCCACAGGGAACTGGCCGTGTGCTCCATCAGACCAATAAAGCTCTCCCACACGTCCTCTCGGCAGAGAGACGAAACGTTGCAACGTCGGTGTGTGTGTGTGGTGGCGCTTGTGTGGCCTCTGCCGATTCCGTTTCACTCAAAGCAGCCCCCTGTTCAAGTTATCGCAAGGGTTACGGATGACCCTGTGTGTTACGCGAGAATACAGGTGCCCGCATCGTCCTGCACATTTTGCGGGCTGGTGATATCTGCCACGACATCGGAAAGTTCAGGGGCAAGTTTATTTCACTTTCCTAATTCGTCTCCTTCCTACGAATACGATGATGCTCTCCGGCACAGCGCCATGTTTCGATCATTTCTGTAGCAACATGGAATGCGTCCTTGCAATCGTTCCTCCATGCAGGCACTCCTGTTCTTCTCCCTGGCATTTACCCCCCCCCCCCTCCTTCATAGCCCTGGTTTCACCACTTGAAGCAGCTCTTTCTTTATAGCAAGGACGTAATTATAATATATATTAAAACATGCTCAAAATGTCCCCCCCAAAATATTACTATAAAATAGATTTCTGTTTTTGAATGTGGTTATGGTTGTACTTTATTAATCCCTAATCTCTGCCATTACAATGAAACAAGAAAAGGTAAAAAAAACAGAGCAATGTAATACAATACACTATTAGACATTATTGTAAAAAAAAGTTCATCCTATGTGTTTGTGAATTTTTTTCTATTTTAGGCAGGAAATTATTTTCAAATTTAGATTATTATTTTTTTTACTGGGTTGGGACCCCCAGACCCCCTGGAAGATTTGACCTCCCCCAATGTTGACTCCATGGCTACGGCCTTGCTTTATAGGCCTGCCTCTGTGTTTCCACATTCAACAACCGTTCATCCAAGTTTGTGTTCATCTCTCTCGTTGCGAACATGTCCTCTCCACGCAGGCACTAGAGCTATTGCCACGTATTCCCAGGCTGTTCTCTCACATAATCCATTGCAATATGGTGCGAGTCTAAACTAAAACGAAAAACAATTTTTTTTATTTTACCAGGTAAAGACCCACTGAACAATGTAGCTCTTTTTCAGAAGCGATCTGGCCACAAATGATAGCTCAACAAAGTGGCTTGTCACGTGAAAATTTATATGGAGGGGAAAACCGGAGGACCAAAATCTACTCGACCACGAGGAGAGAGACACGCAAACTCAAAATATACAGGCGTCAGGGTTTGGGATCGAACCCATACCCTCCTGTATACCAGGCGAGGCAGGGCACATCGGTACAATGCCCTGATGCAAGGAATGAAACGGGGAGGCCCTGTCCAATTCTGTCCATTTTTGTAGCCCAGTGCCTGAGGCCCTCTCTGGCCTGTGGGCCCCGATGGAGTTGCAGCAACATGCACACTCAATATCTCTTGGCACCGGTGCCGGTCTTGTCCTGCTGTAAATATCTTAAACCCCCACTCACTTTCCACGCCCGGTGCCATGACTTCCGGCACACGCCCTGGCATTGCTGCTCCTCTCGAAAGCTCGACCGGTGGAGCAACGCCGTGCAAACCTGCGGAGCGCCCGCCTCACTTTCCCATCCACCGAAATCCGTGCGAATGCGAGTCGTCCGAGGCCAGGCACGGACCTTTTCCAATCCGCCCCACGGTATGAAGGTCTCCCCACACCCGGTGTGCTTCGTGGGAGTTATTTTCTTCTCCAAGTTGGGCGGTGCGTCTTGGTGGAGGCGAGGAGCCATTTCCATAACGTAGGACACGTGTTCACACGAGGGTTGCCACGTCTGAGGTCTGAGGGACAACAAAAAACCTGGACATATCATGGGGAAAAACAATGTCTCGCAATAGTGGAAGAGCGGAGAACTACTGTACGTGTACACGCATTGCCTTGAGCGGTGTGTTGTTATTACAGTTCTATTAGCGGCTACTGACAAAACAACTTAACTTTTAACGTCCCAGGGAAAAAAGATGACATATTCTAGGACAGCTACAACAAAAAGAGAACGATCCTGGGAAAACCAGGACAGGTGGCAGCCGCATTTCACACTGCGGCAAATGAGCAATGTCAGCATGGGGCAGTCAAACGGCTTGGCTGCTCTGAGTTTTTGAGAACTGGAAAATAAAAAGTGAAATAAAACAGTGGTTTTATCTGTAGGAAATAATCTGGCAGCAGCTACATAAGTTGTGTTATTGTGAATAAGCCCCCCCCCCCTCTACCCCCCCCCCCTCATGATCTGCCAAATCCCAGCTGCTTCCATTGGAATAACTAGCCTGATGGCTTTGGCACTCGTGTAATGCAAACATACAATAACATCGGTTTGTCTTTAAGGTAGGACAGCAGCTGCCTGGGTTCCCGTCCTGCCAACAACGGTTGCACTGCGAAAAAAAAACTAAAAATGTATAAATCTCGCTCGTTCCGGACAGGCGCAGCACAGGAGCAGGAGGACCCGAGCCCGGGCAGCGCCACGGAACGGCAGGACGACGAGAGTGCGGATCCGGTCGCTGGCGACGACAATCCGGACAAGGCGGCGGACGAACCCCCGTCGCCCAAGGCCACCTTGTGTTGCCCGAGACGACAGCGGCGGTGGGGCCGGAAGGGAGAGGGCCGCGACGCCGCGACGGTGGCGCGGAGAGACTCGGGGGCGGACGAAAATCTCTACGAGGACGTGGAAGACTCCGTCAGGGGATTGGTTCAGGAGGAGGGGACCCAGCCGACCCCGGCGCCGCAACTCCCCGAGTCGCGGGGTCAGGTGGCCCCGCAGGCCGAGCCCTGCTACGCGGAGGTCCGGAAGAAGACCAAGGAGGGCGGCGCCGTGAAATCGACCGTGGGTGCCGCTTGCGGAGAACCGCGAATCGCGACGCGTGTGACTGAGCTGTGCGACGAATGCGTCGCCCTGTATGCGCACGCACAGCCGCCTTTGTTAGTGCACCGCAGGGCGAAGGCCTCCTCCAAGCCGTGTGTGCCGGCCATGGCGGTTGTTTGACTGTACCTCGCGACGGTTACAATAACCTCACCACCGTTACGATGATAATGATGATGCTAATTACGGACGAACTACCCCCATGACTGACACAGGCACGGGGAGGCTTTCATCCAGCAGTGGATTGACATGCGGGAGGTAAATCATTTTGTAATGTAACTAGCAGCCCGCATGTGACCGTCCGTCCATCCGGCCCTCCCTCCGGACGTGAAAGCCAACCAGCCAGCAAACCTTTTTCTGATATAGTGTAATAATATGATGAACAGCTCCGTAATTACATAGATTGCATTTTTTCTAATAGAACTTGGCCGTGCATTTGCTCGGGATGCACAGCTGGGCGGGATGAAGGGTGGGGGGCGGGACGTCACGTGCACACCACTTGCCTGCCCGTGCGACATTTAGCCAGGCAGCTAGCTAGCCAGCCAGCCAGCAAAACGTATTTCTAATACGAGTATGAAGACATTGCCTATGACCAAAATCACGCAGAATGCGCCCGATCTCTTCACAGCACGAGTCTGGATAGTATTTGGATGGGTGACTACCAGCATGCCCAAATAGGTCATCATAGCAGGGGCAGTGCAGCTAAAATGCATTGTTGTCTTGCACTTCTATGCTCCCAAGTCAATGCTCCCATGCCTTTGCCACCAACCCGCAGTGTGGTCAAATAAACCCAATGATCTGCACGGGGGAGTGGGGAGGCCCTCGTCCAGCAGTAGATTGACACAACCGCCGTATGTGTACAACAACAAGGGCTTGCTATTAACATTGCCATCAACGGGTTGCGTGTGACATACAAAGACAGCACGAGCCAACCGGCTGCACTGCCATCGGTCTTTCGGACCGCTCTTCCATGTGCCCATCGCACCCCACGTGTTCATGCACGTACGTGTGTTGAACTTCATCCACACCGTGCGTAGCCAATCGGCCATAACCCAGTGTGTTGTTTTCTTTTCGCTCTGGTGCAACAGCCGAGGGAAAACAAAAAGATGGTGGCGTTCAAGGACGGCGAGTGCCACGGGGATGGTGAAGAGCTGGCGCCTCCGCCGCCGGAGAAGACCTGGGCGCAGGGGGAGAAGAATCAGCAGCGGGCACAGGAGGGGGGGAACGCCCCTGCCAGCGCCAGCAATCCGACTGCAAGCGGCAGCGGTGGACAGGTGAAAAGTAGTCATTTGGTTTTGCCGTTTGCGCTTTTGTGGACCAACGAGGGCTGCTCTCGACGGACCCTTATAAACAGTTATAATACTGGTTCCTACCAGGTTCCTACCAGTATTATTATTTAAGATCGAGTCTCTTACATTTCTGGTGGTGTTGATGCAATTGGGCTTCGCCCATCCCCAAACCCTTATAAACAGTTTGCGATCTAACTCACAAAAAAGAAACCCTTCATTATTGATCATTAATGGAATTGGTCAAACGTCTCAACATAGCTGGGACCCTCCTGAAACATGGACTTGAGACTCGGTGAGGCATTCCTAGGCAAATAATTTGGCATTTTACAACATAAAACAATTGACATTATTTAAAATGGCTGCGATGTCTTCACCGTGTTTGTGCCAGGCTAGGTGCACCCACCGTGAGGTCGCAGGGAGGGTTGAAAGTTTTCTAACAGATTATAGGACGAACCCAAGTATTTTGGGTTAACCAGGCTGACTACCACGAGATGCATCTATCGCATAGTTGGAATTTGAAAAAAGTAAACAGTACATATTAATACAATTGTGTTCTTCTTTAAAAAAAAGTCAGACGTTGCCAGAGACACGTAGTGCTGAAGAAAAAAAAACTATGGTTGTTGTTGTTGAACTTTGTAGGTAAATTTACCACACCATAATATGTTGGCTCTATGCCAACAGCTCACTTTATGCTCGTGAATATGTGTGTGCTTGCGAAGTTGGAGAGAATCTGTCTCTTCATACAGCCTTCTTATCCGTGTAAACAAGCCAGATTATAAGTATCTGATCGTGGCTGACACTGGCGTTGTTTACACACGCAGCCTTCTGTGGCCTTGACATTTCATGTGGGCCCTCGTGTTTTGAGTCCTTTAGTTTTTACATCGCAGCGCATGATTTGGGTCAAATAAAGGTGATTGGTGAAATACAAAGAGGCATTGTGCCGCGCTATGCCCCAGCGTATATGCTCCCTGCCTTGCACCAACCCGCATGACAAGCGTGGCTACGTTATGATCAATAACCCCTACAACCTGCGTGGCCTGGGTAGGCCCTCATCCAAGCAGTTGATTGACAGAAGCGCTGGTCACGTGCGCGTGGTAAACATCGTACCTATACGAGGAATTATAAATGTTCCCAATTAAGAGTTACGTGTGAACGCGGCTTCCTGTGTGCCTACACATCGGACCTGCAGCACACATCCACCGCTCCACAGTGACAGCAGAGTGGCAGTCACCCACAAGTGGACTCCACCAAAAGCCAATTTACAAGGCAGTTGGATTTTGGAACGGGCACCTGTAACTGGTAACAGAGTGGCTGCCAGGACACGAGCTCATAAACCGTGAACGTGACAAACAAGACCATAATATGGGTCATCTAGCTCACTTCCAGCACAACAAAAAAAACCGGTGTGGCTTTTGGTAAATCTATTGGCGATGGTTGGCAGCAACGTGTTTTCCCGAGCACCTTTTTTTGACCGAGCGGACAGACGTACCGTGTTGAATTATTTACCGAGGACGTCGGGCGAAGGGTATTGCATTTGAGATTAGGCCACAGCTCAATTACCGTGAATCAGGAGGCACGGGTGTGCAATCCAGAGATGTCACCTGAAATATTTATGGATTTATTTTTCAAACTCCGCACGGTAATTTTTTGCTCAGCGTTCGGAATACGCGGAAACAAAATCGAGGGAGGATTTTTTTCCCTCCCTTCCCCTGAGAAACAATGCTATTATATACGATAGCAAAAATGCTCAAACAAAAAAACAATCCAGGGGTTCATTTGGTATGTTTATGCATGACGAATGGCCGCACACAGCTAAATATTTGTGAAGTCGTAAATTGTTTTACAAAGTCAGAAATATGTTTTCCAAACTTTTTTTTCATCTCAGAATTAACAACCGTGACCGCATTAACGTTCAGTGTACAACTCGCATGAGCTCTGGGTTGGACGGCACAATGCTCTGTCTGACCTTAAACCAGCTTCAACAAATCATTTGGCGATGCTGCGTTGGCATTGCTGCACAAACACAAAACACTCTTTAACACACGCTCAAACACCACTTTAAACGACAAAAACCCTATCTGGCGACGTTTCAGGCAATGCTCCTTCATCATTGCGCATTTGACCTAGTTAACGCAACACATTCAACTCAGCTCGGTTCAATTGCCGACAAAACTGCCCCCACCCACCCCGTCACGCACGAGCGAAATGTCAACACGCGCAGCAAAGACAAAGGTCCCCCGTGTAGCCTGTGAACGCACTGTTGGGGCAAGTGCTGTTAGCGAGTTAGCACCTATGAAGGCCGGCACGGTACACAAGTTGGGGGGGTGGGGGTGGTGGCCAGCACCACGCCCGACCGCCTTTGTCTCCCCAGTGGCGATGTTTACTACGCACCGCACCGGGTATTCGATTGAGTCTGGTGGTCGTGATCGGGAATCGAACCCGTGCATGGGATAGGGGGTGTACCCCCCCCACCACCACCACCCCACCACCACCACCCCACCACGTGCGTGAATTGGAGACACGGAGGGCAGCTGTTTGTACAACGCGCTTGTCGAGTGTCAATGCGAGTTGACTGTGTGTTGACTGACCGTGTGTGTGTGTTGTTGACTGTGTGTGTGTGTTGTTGACTGTGTGTGTGTTGTTGACTGTGTGTGTGCTATGTGAATGCGTGTTGACCGTGTGTGTTGTTGACTGTGTGTGCGCTATGTGAGTGTTGTTGACTGTGTGTTGTTGTGTGTGTGTTGTTGACTGTGTGTGTGTTGACTGTGTGTGTGTTGTTGACTGTGTGTTGTTGACTATGTATTGTTGTGTGTGTGTGTGTTGTTGACTGTGTGTGTGTGTTGACTGTGTGTGTGTTGTTGACTGTGTGTTGTTGACTGTGTGTTGTTGACTGTGTGTGTTGTTGACCGTGTGTGTTGTTGACCGTGTGTGTTGTTGACGGTGTGTTGTTGACTCTGTGTTGTTGACCGTGTGTGTGTGTTGACCGTGCGTGTGTTGACCGTGCGTGTGTTGACCGTGTGTGTGTTGACCGTGTGTGTTGACTGTGTGTGTGTTGACTGTGTGTGTTGACTGTGTGTGTTGACCGTGTGTGTGTTGACCGTGTGTGTGTTGACTGTGTGTGTTGACTGTGTGTGTGTTGACTGTGTGTGTGTTGACTGTGTGTGTTGACTGTGCGTGTGTTGACTGTGTGTGTTGACTGTGCGTGTGTTGACTGTCCGTGTGTGTTGACTGTGTGTGTTGACTGTGTGTGTGTTGACTGTGTGTGTGTTGACTGCCCGTGTGTGTAAGTGCTATGTGAACTTGCGAGCAAAGACTCCATGCAACCGACTTACAAACGCAATGCAATGCAGATAAACACACCGCTTGGTTTGCGCGGTGTGTGCACAACCACCACCACCACCCTCCTCCCCCCAAAAAAACCTCACGAGCCATTTCCTGTCGATACGCATTGTACCTCGAACCCGAGCGGTGGCTGGATCTAGCCGGTTCTGGCCACCCACTCACCCACCACCACCACCATCTAACTACAACCCTGCATGCACCCAGACGCCATGTGTGGCTGTTTGCAGGACCAAATCATATTTCATGTCGAGCTTATTTCATTATTTATCACTCCTACTCAACCACCACAACCACCCCCCCCGCCTGCTGGCTATCACGTTTGCTAATAAATGCTAAGTTTTTTTTGCTCTCTCTTCCTCCGCCTACTCGCCCCTGTTCTGAAATCCACGCTTGTGTCCGTGCCAATGTGCGCTGGAAGTGCCCCTGTATTTGAAGCTATTATAAATAACTGACTCCGCAAATAAATAACTCCCAAACATGTCCTGGGTTTTTTTTACTCTCCAAAACATTGTTTTTTTAGCTTCACTGCCAAAGTATCCCGAGCCTGCGTCGTCGTTTAATATGATGTTGTCAATACAGTGCCGGCAGTATTGTATTTAAGAACTTGCATCCTGGAATCCCTGCCTCACTTGATACAGCAAATCTGGCTGTGACGGTCCCACCTGATGACGGAGACTTGTGTTGCCTCCGAAACGTCGTGATTTTTTTATTAATTTTAATTTCATTTTTTTACCTACGTGACTTTACTGAAAAAACTAAGTGTATGAATCCTTGCAGTCACGAAAGCTTCAAATCTAGAAGTATTGCTGGATTCTATGCGAAGCACGCGCTCGACTTTGGAATTCCCTGCCGTCATTTGTCATCCCAAGTTCTTATGTACAGGGTGTCCCATAAGTCTGTAATCGTAGGTGAAAATAATACCAAAAAGGCAATGGTAACCTCTTTATTCACAGAAAGTGATCAATGTGTCAGTTTCAGTTTCATTTATTTGGTATAGCCCTGTGAGCCATTCGGCTCTTGAGTCGGGTGCAACCGCAACAAACAAAAACATGAACAAGAAACATCTTAAAGTGTCCACCGTTGCTCCTGATACACAACTCCAGACGAGATACCCTGGCCAGCAAGCACACGGTAAATGGTATCAGGGGCGATAGTGTTACACGCGTCAATAATGCGAAGACGCAAATGTTCAACACTCTGAAATTTCTCCACGTTGACCAGCACTTTCAAATGACCCCAGAGATTTTTTAAAAAAATCCAGCGGTGTGAGATGATCGGTGCTTCTTGAGGGCCATTCCACAGGCACCGCAGAAACAAAAAAAATACGAATTCGGTGTTTTTCCCTATGATTCCAGACTTATGGGACACTGTATATAACGTTGCTGAATTCGAGTGTGTTAACTCAAAACTGTTGCACCTTCAATGGCGCTGTTTGTCGCTGGAAATTTGTTTTATGGGCCCGCAAAATATGGATAAAAAAAACATTTTAAACTCAATTTGAATACGTTACGGTACTGTATACGCAGACTCACCACTGCTCTCAAAGGAGCTGGGGGGGGGGGGTTAGGGAGTATTTGATGAAACATCACCTGAAATGTTTTTTTTGCTGCTTTTATAGTTGTGTTATGAACTAATGTGTTGAGTTTTTTTCTTAGTTCTACTTAGGCACCACTGTCATTGCACTTATGCACCATAAATCATGTACAGTATTGCATGTCTGGCTTGCCACTTAATTCAGTTAAAAACACGTGTTTCAATACCCACACACTTTTATTTGCACTCAAAGGTAGAAAATAAATTAGTTTGACCCCAGAATGAATCATATAAAAGGGGATGGCTTCCTTTCGATATGTTTCATTTTCTCTATGCAAGCCACCCACTTTCATTCGGCACATCAAATTTGATTAATTCAAAATAATGTATCTTCAACTTTTGAGTGCAAATGAAAGTGTGTGCATTGAAAAACTTGTTTTTAACCTCATGTATTCGTATTTGTACTGTCTTTGTACTTATGCGACAAAAGAACATGGACTGCATGTCTGGTTTTCCACTTAATTCAGCTGAGCCCAAACAATGCTCTCCGTTACAAATGCCGCGTATCACGCTATTGACAAGCAGCGAACAAGTGCCTTCTGGTGTTTGGCTTAAGAGGCCTTTTGAAGTCTCTTCAATAGAGGAGATGTTACGACACTGGACTAATTTAACGCACAAATAAGCACGCACCCAGTCGCTGTATGTAAACAATGGCTTGTGATTATTTTAACTTTTTCTCACCATACGTAGGCAACGCTGCTAATCGGAGGTGCGGGGGGGGGGATACGAAACTAAACACAATAAGCAATGCTCAAGAAATACGTTGTCAATTGAGATTTAAAAGTGCATAGCTCCCATAGGTTAGACGACTTGGGTCACATTTAAAACTGGTCGTGTGTTTTTTGTTTGCATTCCGACTGCAGGTATTGTGGTCTATGTAAACACGACTCCTTGTAAAATAAGGTGTCAGTTTTGTTGCCAGATAAAAGGGTAAAAAACAATTATCATATTTTTCTACTGGCAAATGAGGTTCCAATGGTGGTCGTGTGTAATTTATCCTGGGTGACAAATGTCAGAAAAAGTACTGGCTGCTTGGCGATATTGTACAAAAAAAAAGTTAATGAATAGTTTAAAAATATTCATTTTAATGTAATGACTCGGTTTTTTTTGTGTTTGTTTAAAACTGTTTGGCAGTTCCAGCACTGCCACACGAGTTTTGCCCACTGCGCCTAATCAGCCTTGGACAATGGCCTTCACCTGAAGGCCTCAGCGGCAGATCGAGGAGTGGGTGGGGGGCATGTGGACATGTGCCCCCCCCCACCCCTGACGACCCAACATATCATTGCTATTTTATTGATATTTACCAGTGACAATACATTGATCGTATGATTAGGATTGATTTATGGTCATTTTTAAAACAGCTTTACATTATGGGACCACCCCCCTTTCCACACAACATTTAAGCCTCGATGATGGTCTAAACTATTCAAAACTATAAACTCAACTATAGATTTTATTTTACCAGGTAAGGCCCACTGAGTTGTGTAGCTTTTTTTTCGGAAGCGGCCTGGCCACACATGATAGCGTAACGAAGTGGCTTATCACGTGGAATTGTACAGCAGCCAAACACTATAAACGCATGATGTTGATTATAAATGTGGAGAGAAAAACTGGAGGACCCGGAGATAAATCCACGCGAACCACAGGGAGAACACGCAGACTCCGAATATACTGGCTTCAGGGTCAGGATCGAACCCACATACTCCTGTATGGCAATCAAAGTAGTTAACATCTCACCACCGTGGCCTCGTGGGTCATTGGCCTTGAATTCAACACTGCCCCATTCCACCCATTTTGGGCACCATGGCCCTTGGGCTTCCATCATCTCCTGGTGTGCCACTAATCCATCTGGCTGTTGCTAGAAATAGGGCTTAAGTGAAATTAGCTCCACTGACAAACAAACGTATCCCACTACAGCTTTGGTCATGCCCTTCTCTTTTTTTAACTGGTTTTAAGCGAGACGTAAAACGCCTAGATCTTTCATGAGCAATACTATTGAAAATGAGCCTGGCTAATCATTAAAAAAAGGAATGAAAAAATACGTAAAACAACTCCACGTCACACCAGTGTACCTCTTGTTCTAGCTGTGGTGGCTACTATTCACTTGACTCTTCCCAGTCTATGAGCGACCTGGCAAACATTCAGTGAGAAATGAAGCCCTGGCCACGGTTGTAGTTTCGGATTTTTACAAAAGTGACGATTCTAGGCCCAAACAAAGTCAACAAACCTTCGTGCCCCGAGTAAAAAAAAATAGTGCACCACATATCAGCTTGAATTATAACCCTAATAAATATAAAAGCTCATTAATCTCTCTCATCTCAACGTTGTCTGCATCTCTCATCTCACTTACATCTCTGTCTCTTGTGAACATTTCTCCCTTTAACCTCACTCAAGAGTTCATGAAAATCCACAGAGTTAGGGGCGAGGAGGGCCCCAAACATAATTTCCGCTTATTGATCCCCAGGTGGTCCGGCACCAGCGCCGCATGTGTCGGTGTCAACCCGTGGGCGAGCGAGCGAGCGAGCGGGGTAGACGAACGGTGCGACGTTCCGTCGGCCGGCGAGGGCTGACGTGTGTTTCCGGCAGGCGCCGCCGAGGGAAGCCGAGGTCCTGTACGCCACGTTGGAGGAGGTGGGAGCTGGAGGAGAGGTGGCGGTGGCGAACGCGAGCGATCGGGCGCCGCCACCCCAGAGGCCACCGTCTGTGCAGCGGCCCATGTCCCTGCCGCGGAACAACGAGACGGTACCAGCTCTCATGCGGACCCCTGCGCGCACAGCACACCATGTACAGGAGCACCGGGTACTGGGTCGTACGTTTGTGTGCACGTTGAACTTCTTTCGCACCCACCGCAGGTAGCCGACCGTGCTGATCAGAGGTGCGAGGGGAAGGACAACAAACTAAACACAAAAAAGCAGTTCTGAAGAAATTAGGTTTAAAAGTTCATAGCTATAGTGGTCTTCCTAATGTTGAAATGAAGAGCGTTCCAGACGACCGCAGAAGCGCATCTGAAAGTGCGGTGACCGTCTTTGTTCGATGGCCAGCCAAAAGCCACTGTGAGGATGACCGGAGTTCGCGTGATGATGCTTTATGCTCCTCGACGAAATCAGCAAGGTATTGTGGTTCACTTGTGGCAAGCACTTTGTGTGTAATGTGTGCGACCTTATAATGTATTCGTTCGGCAACCGGAAGCCAATGCAGCTCAGCGAGAGTCAGTGAGGCTGAGGCGATCTGGGGGAGGCCCAGGACCAGTTCATCACTGCCAAATGGTTGTCTCACCTGATGACGGTTGCTTGTGTTGCGATCAAAACGTCGTGATCTCTTAATTTTCTATCTACGTGACTTTACCGAAAGAGCCAAAGAGTATCCTATGATACGTTTTACGCTAGAAGGTCCGCGATAATCATATCGTCTGCTCTGCAAAATTTTGTCATCAATAGGGAGCACAGACATAGCATAGAACTACGGTACAACAAAGGTGTATGCCTACAAGATAAGTGCCGTTTGGGTTTTTTGTTGGCTGCCTCTCCCTTTAAGAACGCTCACAGAGGGATTTTCTCAATCAGCTGACTGCAGTGTTGCTAATTATAGAACACAATATCAAACCCATTGACACATCTAACTGCCAAACTCATAATTTTCATTGCAGAACGTGTGCGTCACCGTGAACGGATCACCTTATACACGAGGGGGAGGGGCCTGTGGCCCATGACTTAATTTCACTCGGCCCAAGGCCACATGAGGCCTCCCCCTTTCCAAACAGGCTGCAAACGATAGTTAACCCTTCACTGCAAGCATCTTAGCCGTCCCTACTGGTCAGGTACTCGAGGCAAACATTGTCGATCTGGATACACCGCGTTTCTAATTTTAGCGCACTCGGTTAACTGTACAAATCAGACACAATTATTAACATCATCTGGTCATCTGGTCGTCATCTGGTCGAACACCAAATGAGACTAGGCTCTAAAGAAAGCTGTCTCTGGTGTGGACCAATCAGTTTCAAAGACAATGCATAAATTATCAGAGTATTGTTTTTTGTTTACATTTGACTGCAAGTATTGTGGTTAATATAAGCATGATTCCTTGCAAAAGGTGTCAGTTTTGTTGCCAGAAAAAAGGGGAAACCCCTATTAGTATATTTTGGTACTGGCAAAGGAGGTCCCATGATGATAAAGACGCAATTATTGTTTGCGTTATTACTGGATAAATACCGAGGTGTGTTCGTGTGTGGTCCTATTAGGCTCTCAGTGATGATGACTGCTCTCAGGAGGTTCCTCACCCCCTGATATACAGAATATATATAGTGCGTATGACTGTGTGAGCAGCAACATCGTTAAAGTGTCGAGTGTGAACAGGAAACACGCCTTCAACCTGTGTGCGCCCCTTTAATCCCTGTGTGTCTCCGTCTGTGCCTCAACACAATTCCAAGCGTTGTGCCGCCTCTCGTTTTGTTTCATCGCTCACGTCAATATTTGTGATCCGCGTGCCATGCCCACAGGTACACCATTAGCGCATTATGCATCCATTCAACGCGTCATTCCACGGGCACATGAATACGTTACTATTCAATCTTGATTTGAAGCTTTCGTGACTGCAGGAATCCATACTCTTTGGTTTTTCGGTAAAGTCACGTGACTTTGCCGAAAGAACAAAAGAGTACGTTACTATTCATTGTCATTAACTTCAACTTTAGGAGGTATAACGGTAGAGTATGAAACACATTCCTGCGGAGGGAGCTGGTAGGAACGTTGGGTTGCTCGGTCAATGGCCTGCAGGGTCAACGGCGGCGTGGTGTATTCCGCAAATATGGCCGACTGTGAGGGCGGGCACAAGCCGGCGTGAGTAGGTCAAACGTTGAGTTTTATAAGGGCACCACGGGGTGACCAGCCCCTCTCCACCCAGCCCCACCCCTCCCACCCCCCACCCAGCCCCGCCCTCCCCACCCAGCCCCTCCCCACCATCCCCTCCCCACCCAGCCCCTCCCCACCCTCCCCACCCAGCCCCTCCCCACCCTCTCCTCTCCACCCAGCCCCACCCCTCCCATTTTGGATGCACAACGGACGGACGGACACAATAATCACCTGTGGGCTGGTGGAACCAGGAGGCTCCTTCCAGTATAATACAAATAGTGAGATAGCAGCGGCTTGAGGAGGCCCTCATCCAGCAGTAGATCGATCATGGCTGCTGCTGCAGATGATGCTCTATTGTACTGCATCGTCTCTGTGCTTTATTTATCATTTTGACACTCCGACGAAAGAACGCTGAACAATGGCGCCGGACAAATTTTGGAAACATTTTTACAATTGGGACATCAATTAGTCACCCGCGCCGAGGCAGGTGCATGAAGGCCAACAAAGAAAAGTGGACACATTGTATGGCTCTCAAGTTAAACAGACGTGGCGCTGTTTACCCAATGTGACTGCGGACGTGGTAAGAGAGAGGGGATCTTTAAGACATTTTCTGATTTACGACTCATGGATAATCAACAGGCTCGCAACATTGTGGGAAAGGACAGATGCTTACACTTTGTGCATGGCTGGGTGAATAGCAACTGATATACAAGTCTGTGTCCAGATAAGTTCGCCATGAAATGCCTCCGTTGAATCTGTAGAGCTGGAGATGAGCAGTTTGGTTATTTGTGAATTTCTGGCTCACGAAAAGCCCGTAACTGGCTCTCAACGCAATTGCACACAATTATCAGCCATTGCGGTGGCGTTTCGTCGGCTCTCATGTCTGCCCATGATGCACTCAGTAGCCACCTCTTCTGTGAACGATGAATAATCCTACGTGTGTAACCATTAGTGTACTTGACCGCATGGTGCGATTTAACACGAAGGCTTTGGCGACGAGTGTTATCCATCACCCTACTCCGTTTGAGACCGGATACCAGAAAGCTTCACAATTCAGGAAAATCGCCTGAGGAAGCTGGTTTTTTTTTTTGTTACACACTTTCTATTAACTCACTCTGTCTATTGTTGTTGTTGTATCCTCAAATCTCGTAACTAAATTTTAACCCACTTCCCAATGTGGTATCGACTGCAAACTTGGTATACTTATGTCATACTGATGACAATACTATATTCTATCATAGCAAAATTATTTTTTTAAACATAATTTTTTATATGTTATGTTTCGGCTTGGGTCTAATTGTCCATGGTCAACTTACGTTGGCTGTAATTGGCCACGGTCCCTTACGTTATGGAAAGCTTCGGGGCCACTTACTGGAGTCTTAGAGTTTTGCCATTACTAGTATGGTACATTTCATAAAAGCGTGTTTTTTTTAAAGTTTTTTTTTTTCATTTTACTTATTTGTAATCGCCAGCGAAACGTCGCAGTACTCAAATTGTAAACGTTGTGGGTTTACTGTCCAACACACAAGCGGTGTGCTGAAGTAGTCACTAATTGGCAAGTTTTGTTCACGTGACAAACCTTACTAATTGGCTATGTAAGATTGAAGTGGGTTTACCACACGTTTATATTGACGCGATCTAACCCAAACAACTTCATTATGCAGAAGAGTGCACCGTACATGAAACCATTTCCGAGTTTGATTTTAAACAAAGTTGAAAATGGGCCGATAAATTAAAACCTATTCAACGTGAATATGTATGCGTGTGTATGTTGAACTTCTTTCACACCGTACATAGCCAACCACTCTCATCGGAGGTGCGGTGATCCAGATCACAATTATCGCCTTTATGAACCCCATAATTCAGCAATCATATAATTATACGTAGCAAAGTGCATTGTAGTGATACATAAGCACGAATCACACATTTACAACAACAAAAATAACATAATTTGTATGAAAATGAACACGACCCTTAGGGGCCGTCCATAAATGACGTCACGCACCTAGGGGGGTAAGGGGGTCAGACATTTGTGACGATGTGTGACGAGGGGAGGGGGGATTTGAGAAATGTGACGTCACATCAAAATGCGCAAATTTAAATAAATATAGACAACACGTTCTACTTAATTAAATAGACTTTTTAATAAATGTTTTCTCCTACAACATCAGAGTGCAGCGCCACATTAAATACGCACTACAATGACAATAGTTTAAAGCGATTTGAAGCATGTTTTATTTTAAAAATGGAAATATGGTTTTTTGGGGGGGGGGGGCAGAGCTTTGTGACGTCATATTTGAGGGGGGGTCTGACTTTTTGTGACGAGGGGGGGGGGGGGTAAAAAATCGTCCAAAATCGCGTGACGTCATTTATGGACGGCCCCATTCTCACACAGCGTGTGCTCTGATCGGGCGCCGTTCGTTGCCTGTAACCTCGACCTGCTGTGTCACTTTCATGGCGGGTGCGTTCGAATGTTTTTTGGGTCGGTGGAGAAAGTCCATCATCCCTTTGCAGTTGTTGAAGTGCCACCAAGTTGGAGTGGCCCAGCGGGCGACCACGTCTGCCGAGCGTTTTTATTTTTGTTTCGTGGAAAAAAAAATTTAGTGGACGCAACCGATTGTCATAACTTTGCTGTTTTTTTGCACGGGGCAACAGCAGAGTATCCCAGGCATTCTTGAGCGTGTGCAATCGTTGCAATGCAAACATAATATTTAGCAGATGTGCATACTGTGTGTGTATATATTCACGCAGAGCGTAAAATGCAACAATGAGAAATTGCCATTGGTCTACAAGTCTGTGAAATATACAGGGTGAGCTCTGCATTATAAGGTCCACGAAAACCATTTTGTCTGTTTGGCAAATTAAAGTTATAAGGGGCTGTCCATAAATGACGTC